AAAAACATAGTCCTCCATTTCCTCCAGGCTTGGGGAATCTTGGTAGAAAGAAATACAAAGATCCTCTGAGAAGGACACACCTTGAACTCAAAGCCCACAGAAGATGACACATCACAATGCTAAATTACAATTCACAGTGAAAACAATCAATAATGAGTGAGAATCATCGAACAATAGTGGATAAGATCCCCCAAGAACCTCATATAATACAACTACAAGATGGTTAACTGATAAAAAAAGTAAATACACACAAACAAGAAAACGCAAAGACACCACTATTGAAACAAAAAACAAAAAGGAAAGATTTAGAATAGAACATCAAAAGAATTATGGCCATGGGGCTGGCCCGGTGGCGTAGCAGTTAACTGCGCGCACTCCACTTTGGCAGCCCGGGGCTCACAGGTTCGGATCCTGGGTGCGCACCGACGCACTGCTTGTCAAGCCATGCTGTGGCAGCATCCCATATAAAGTAGAGGAAGATGGGCACAGATGTTAGCCCAGGGCCAATCTTCCTCAGCAAAAAGAGGAGGATTGGCATCAGATGTTAGTTCAGGGCTAATCTTCCTCACACACACACACACAAAAAAAAGAATTATAGCCATTCTTTCCTGCTATAAACAAGTTACCAGAAAGCAAGACAAAATATATGAAAGAACTGGTTTCAGACAGTGGGTAACAGGCTACACAGGAATGTGATCCCTGAGAAAAGGTATTCAAATGTGACAGTTTCCAGACTGCTGGGCACGTAAGGGGAACCTAAAGAGAAAGAATCTTGCAGTTTTGCTGAGTTGAAGAAACAGAGATCAGAGTTTAGGGTGGCCAAGGCAGCAAAAATTTGTAGAACAGAGTACTGAAACGGAAGAAGCTCGAGAGAGAGAAAAAGAGAGAAAAACACCTACAGAGGGATCCCCTCAAATCTTTGGTTCAGTATTGATACGGGGTGAAACTCCATGAGGCTATGGAAAGAATCACCAGAAAGCAGTACATGAACAAATCCCAAAGTCACACAGGATTAGGAACAGTTCACAAGTGAAGAAATCTCATAATAAACAAAACAATGGATAGTAGTGGGGCTAAATTACATATCAGTCCTAGAGTAAAGACTGATCTGAAGCCACTCTAACAAAGCAAAAAAATAAGCTTTGAAAGGAACAACTTGATCCGTAAGCAGCTTAACTGTATGTCAGACAAACCCAAGACTGTTTAAAGGAAAACAATAAAATCCAGCAATCAGCAATGTAAATTTCACAATGACTGTCATCCAATCAAAAATTACCAGGCATAGAGAGCCAGCCCTGATGGCCTAGTGGTTAAAGTTCCATGTTCACCGCTTCGGTGGCCCAGGTTTGCTTCCCGGGCGCGGAACCACACCACCCATCTGTCAGTTGACATGGTGGCAGCAGCTCACATAGAAGAACTAGAACAACTTACAACTAGGATATACAACCATGTACTGGGGCTTTGGGGAGGGGGAAAAAACAACAAAAGAAGATTGACAACAGATATTAGCTCAGGCTGAATCTTTCCCTGCAAAAAAAAAAAATGAAAAAATTACCAGGCACACAAAGATCAGGAAAATATGACCCATAACCAGGAGATAAATCAGTCAACAAAAATGGATGCAGAAATGACAGAGATAATAGAGTTAGCAGACATAGACTTAAATCAAATACTATAAATGTTATAACTATGATTCAAGATGAAAGGAAAACATAAGCTGAAGGAGAGAAAAATGAAGATATAAAAAAGATCTAAATGTAACTTGTAGAAATAAAAAAAATACATATATCTGAAATGAAAAATATACTGGATGAGATTAAAAGCAGATGAGATGCTGCAGGAAAAAAAAAATCAGTGAACTAAAAAACATAGCAATAGAAAACATCCAAGTCAAAGCACAGAAAGAAAGGAAAAAAAAAAACTGCGAAAAAAGTCAATAGGTACTTCTGTGACCTGTGAGATAATATCAAGCAATCTAACATATTTGTCATTAGAGTCCCAGAAAGAGAGGACACGAGAAAGGGTACAGAAAAAAATATTTGAAGAAATAATGGCTAAAATTTTTCCAAATTTGATGGAAATTATAAACCTAAAAACCCAACAGAAAAAAATACCCACAGGCCAGCAAAAATATATCTTTTGAAAACGAAAGCAAAATAAGACTTTTTCACGCAAACAAAACCTGAGGGAAAATTCATTGCCAGCATACCTACACTAAAAGAAATTTTTAAAAAACTGAGTAATATGGGAAATATGTGAGTAAATATAAAAGACAAATTTCTCATTTTTAAATCTATCTAACGGAAGATTGATGAGGACTCCTGCTTCTAGCAAAGATGGAGTAAAAGGGGCCAGATTTACTCTCCTATCTGAAACAACTGAAAAAACACAAACATGAAACAACAGTTTTCAAGATACTGGACATCAGGTAATAAAGGACAGTGACCTGTAAAGATGGAAAGCAAACAAGATAACATACTGCCTTGGAGAGTTTTCAGGCTATGGCACAGGGATACAGAACTGAAGCAGAGCCCAGCGGACTCACGGAGCTGAAGAGATGGAGCTGCGAGTCCAGGGAGACCACAGCAACTCATAGGACAGAATACCAGAGAGAAGAGAACTGCACAGAGGGCGATCCAGAGAGCTGCAGAGAGTACCAATCTATCCAGCAGAGTACTGATCAGAGCACAACTGTGAGGAAACTATTTGAGGGCAGGAAAGGAACCATCAAAAAAGAGTAGAGAGAAGTTCCCAGCACTCACACAGGGCCGGGAATAGTGCTTGTTCTTACCATCCAGTCTGGAAAAACTCTTCATTCTCAGAGCATTGGGTAGAGTACTCAGGAAGGTCTTGTCTCAGTAGTACAGAATAATTAGCCCTAGCCTGAGCACTGCTCTGAACCCTCCTAATAAATCATAAAAGCAAAATCCAAAATGATTAAACTGTTTAAAAGTTAATTACATCCCATAACAAAGTTCAAGAATATTTTATAGGAAAACAAAAATATCCAGCACCCAACAAGGTAAATTTCACAGTATCTGGCATCCAGTCAAAAACTACCAGGCATGCAAAGTGGCAGGAAAACACAACTCAGAATGAGGAGAACAATGTATCATTTGAATTTGAATAGATGTTAAAATTAGCAAAGAAGGACAGTAAAACAGTTATTACAAATATATTTCATATGTTCAAAAAGTAGAAACATGGAAGACATGAAAAAACACAAATTGAACTTCCAGAGAAGAAAACAACATCTAAGAAGAAAAATATACTAGATGGGATTAACAGCAGATTAGACATTGCAGAAGAAACTTAATTAGAAGGCATAACAATGGAAACTATCCAAACTGAAACATACATAAAACAAGAATAAAGAAAATTAAAAGAGCACCAATGAGCTGTGGGACAATTTCAAGCAACTTAATATATGAGAAACTGGAGTCTCCAAAGGGCTCCAATGGGTTGGGGGCAAGGGGAGTGGTGTAAAATATTTTTTTGAAGAAATCATGGCCAAAAACTTTTCAAATGATGAAAACTATAAACCTATAGATCCAAGAAGCTCAATGAATCCCAAATACAGGAAACATGAAGTAAATTACATCAAGATACATCATAATCAAATTACTCAAAATCATTGCTAATCTTAAATCCAGGGGATTTAAGCAGCCAGGGGAAAAAAATCATGTACATACAGAGCAACAAAGATAATGATGACATCAGATTTCTCATTGGAAAGATGCAAGTCAGGAAAAGGCTAATCAACATCTTTAAAGTACAGTCAACCTAGAATTCTTTTTTTGTGTGTGAGGAAGATCAGCCCTGAGCTAACATCTGTTGCCAATCCTCTTCTTTTTGCTGAGGAAGACCGGCCCTGGGCTAACATCCATGCCCATCTTCCTCTATTTTATATGGGATGCCACCACAGCATGGCTTGACAAGCGGTGCATCAGTGCGAGCCCAGGATCTGAACCTGCTGCAGCGGAGCACATGCACTTAACTGCTGCACCACCAGGCCGGCCCCTCAACCTAGAATTCTATACCTGGCAAAAAACACCTTTCAAAAAAAAAAAAGGTTAAATGAAGATGTTTGCAGACATATAAAAGCTGAAGAATTCATCAGCAGACCCACACTACACGAAACGTTAAAGGATGTCTTTTAGGCAGAAGGAAAATGACACCAGATGGAAATCTGGATCTACACAAAGGAAAGAAGAGCATCAGAAATAGTAACTAAGAAATAGTAACTATTTGGGTAAACATATAAGTTTTTAAAAATTATTTAAATATCCTTAAAAGATAATCGACATTTTAAACAAAAATGACAATGTTTGTGTGGTTTATAACATATGTAAAACTAAAATGCATGACAATAATAGCATAAAAGAGAGAAGATCAGAAATGGAGGTCTACTATTATAAGGTTCTTACACTATATATGAAATTGTATAAAGTCACTTAAAGGTAAACTGTGATTCAAGATGTATACTATAAACCCAAAGCAATCATTAACATAACAAAGCAAAGAGTAATATCTAATAAACCAAGAAAAGAGATCAAATGGAATAATAAAAAAATACTCAATTAAACCAAAAGAAGGTAGAAAAGGAAGAAAAAACAAAGAGATGGGACAAACAGAAAAATACCAACTTGATGAATTCAAATCTAACCATATTAATAATCACATTAAATGTAAATGATCCAAATAGCCCAAATAAAAAGCAGAGATTATCAGGATTGAATAAAAAAGCAAGATGCAAAGTATATGCTGTCCACAAGAAACACACTTTGAATATAAAGACAAATATAGGTTAAAAGTAAAAGGATGGAAAAATATAAACCATGTTAACATTAGACAAAAGAAAACTGGAATGGCTATATTAATATGAGACAAAGGAGATTTCAAAGTAAAGAATATTACCAGGGATAAAGGTCATTTCATAATGATGAAGGTGTCAATTAATCAAGAGGGCATAACAATTCTGTTTATGAACCTAATAATAGAGCTTTAAAATACACGAGGCAAAAATTGATAGAACTGTAAGGAGAAATAGACAAATCAACAATTATAGTTGGAGATTTCAAACCCCTACAAATAATTGCTAGAACAAATTGGCAGAAAATCAGTAAGGATATGGTAGACTTGAACAATATCAATTGACTAGACTTAATTAACATTTATAGAACACTATATCCAACAATGGCAGATTACACATTCTTCTCAAGTGCACATGGAACATTTACCAGGACAGACCATATTCTGGGCCATACAAAAGTCATAATAAATTTAAAAGGACTTAAATCAAACAAAGTATGTTCCCTGACTAGAAAAAATTAAATCAGAATCAATATCTCAAACTAAACTATTGAAAAAAACTTCAATCACAAAGTAATGGAGAAAAATACGGAAGGAAGCACATGAGGTTGTATTAATATTAATTACGTTGTGCAGATGAAACTGATGTAAGGTTGAGGACAGAGTTTTTGTGTTTTTTTTTGTGATGACTTTTTTTTTTTTTAATTTTTTTTTATTGTGAAATTTTTGTTGTACATTATTGGTTATCAGTCACCACATAAGTGCATCCCTCCACCCCTTGTGCCCACCCCTTACCCCCCTAGCCCCCGGCAACCACCAAACAGTTCTATCTGGGGACAGAGTTTTAAACTTTTTAAATACATTTTTGCACTGTTTCACTAGTTATAATAAGCACGTATTTTTTTTTGAAATTTAGGAAAAAAAAAAACATTTTTAAAGCACTATGAGATATCTCTGAATCCTTAAAATAAATTCCCCTCTTCTTCTAATGACTTAAGCCAACTTCTGTATCTAATAATCCTATGAACTCTGAATAAAACAATCAAATACTGTAATTTATTTAATACTTCCCCACTACTAGGTATTTAGGTCATTTTACATTTTCTACTTTATATAACTAAAGGTATAGTGAATAGACAGGTCCTCCTGAAATGCCAGCCCTCAGCTTTCCCAAAATCCATCTCTCATTGCTCAGTATCTCATACTCTTGCATCTGGAAAGCAAACACTAATCTATTTTTTTTTTACTCACTAATCTAATTTATGCCTCCTATGATCTCATTCCTCCAGAGCAGAGGTCTGCTCTAAAATGGCTTTTAACAAGTAGTAGTAGGCACTTTGCCTGTTGCAGTGGTTAAAGGTGATAAAACATTTGATCCTTCATCTTTGCCTCAAAATCCTAAAGAGCTCATTTTAATCTATATCTAATATATTTATGGAATATCTTATTTGTTAAGCAGTCTTTTAAGTAGTAATTATTAATTACCAAACATAGTATCTAAGAACACTTGTAGGTTAGCAATATGTTTTAATGAGATCTTTCTTTTCTGATTATAAAAATAAAACATGCAGGGCTGGCCTGGTGGTGTAGTGGTTAAGTTCACGTGCTCTACTTTAGTGGCCCCAGGATTCACAGATTTGGATCCTGGGCGCGGACTGACGCACCACTTGTCAAGCCATGCTGTGGGAGCGTCCCACATAAAGTAGAGGAAGATGGGCACGGATGTTAGCCCAGGGCCAATCTTCCTCACCAAAAAGAGGAGGATTGGCAACAGATGTTAGCTCAGGGGTAATCTTCCTCACCAATAAAAAAAAAAAAACATGCTCACAGTGAAGCTTTGTACTATACCAAAAAATATAAAGAAAAGTATGTAATTTGTATTTTTCCTTCTAATGTGGTGAAAATCTTAATATGTATATATAGTTTTATAGCCTGCTTTTTCACTTAATTATACTGTGTATATATATATGTATTTTTTAATATATATATATGTATTTTTTAATATATATATATATATATATGTATTTTTTGTGTGTGAGGAAGATTAGCCCTGAGCTAACACCTGTTGCCAATCCTCCTCTTTTTCCTGAGGAAGACTGGCCCTAGACTAACATCCATGCAGATCTTCCTCTGCTTTATATGGGATGCTGCCACAGCATGGCTTGACAAGCGGTGCATCGGTCTATGCCTGGGATCCGAACCAGTGAACCCTCGGCCGCTGAAGCAGAGCACACAAACTTAACCCCTATGCCACCGGGCTGGCCTTGTATATATTTTCTAATGTCATTAAGTGTTTATAAATAGAGTAACAACTTTCAATGTATTACCTCAGATGGAAAATAATTACAGCTTGGAATTTAGCAGGAAATGCTTTTATCTTACCAAAAGTCCTAGGACTTTCTGTTGAATGGATGACTCGGTTGGGAAAGACTGTAAAAGGAAAGAGAAACCTATAACCATCTAAAGAACCAAATATAATAAATAAATGCTTAAATCAATCAATGTCAAAACTGTAGGCTAAATTTCCATTCTAACCTCTAGAACCCTCATGAAGAGTTCTAACCCTTGGTTTTCAATAAAGTGTCTGCAAGTGGTTGGCGATTCATCTGTGAGGTTCCAAAGTGCACTCAAAGTAAACTTCAAAGTAGTGTCCACTGAATTTTGATTGGTTTTCTGCTTCACTATTTGAAGAAGTTGCTGAAAGAAGGAAAACAGAATTAATTTCTCATTATCGAATGGTTATTACAATTAGTGCTAATAACTATAAGTCCATGAAGATTAGTCTCATGAAAACATTTCCTATAAAGGTTTTTATAAGTACAACAAACAGCCTCTTGGATCAGATTTTTCTAAGAAAAAAGTATAAAATCTTCACACATATTTCTGTATTATTCTGATCATACCTATAATTTAATTGCCTGTAAATAAAATGAAAAGCAAAATGATTAAAGCTTAGGACTGACTGGCTTACCCAATTGGTCACAACATACACTCATTTTAGGTCCTGGGATAAAAATGGTGGAGGGGGAGAAAGGGGAATGAAGCTAATATTTATTAAGCATCAGCAAATTATATCCTATATTGTAGTATTGTTATTCTCATTTTTCAGGAGAGGAAATTTTGAGTCTAAGAAATATTAAGTAATTTGATCATAGTTAACTTAGTAAGATAAAGTAAGAATTGGAAGTCTTATTCTATCTAACTCCAAGTTTTCCTTAAGAAAAAAAGAAAGGACAAACTACACACAATAGTAAGAGAATTAAAGTCTATATTGGATTTAAATAAGATACAGCTTTGAAATTCCATTTGTAAATTATTTCTATCATACCTTTAACCTAAGAAATTTAAGTTTGAAAGATAAATGTTTTAAGACCTACATAAGGCATCCATAATTTCATTTTTAGATTACACTTTTGGATGTAAAAGGGAGCTCTACTAAAATATATACAAGAAAACATTAATGAACACTATTACTTACAGATACATACAATTCAGGAAAAAATGTTAAGAAACACAAACACCTAGGTGCAATTATGTAACTTAACAGCATAGTGGCTAAGATTGTGTGGCACTAGAATCAGGCTACCTGAACTTAAATTTAATCTCTGCATCTAACTTCATAATCTTGTTTGCCAATTTAACTCTTGTTTCCCCATCTGTAAATTGCAGGTGATAATTAAGAACTAAAAAAAGAAAAAAAAAAAAGGTAGCTATCATCATCATTACTACTACGACTACCAAATCCTGCTTAAACTAAGCTTAATTTTCCCCTAAAGCATACGAGTGGACTACTTCCTTAAAATCTCTGAATATATCCCCAGCCAAAATTACTGAAACACATATCTAGCAATAAAAAGTCATATTTAAAACTACAATATCATTCCTGAAAATAGTGAAAATAAATAAAATCAGCATCCCTTTCTATTCATCTAACATATACTGTATTTTGTGCTAGGCACTTAGCATATATTCCTTTAATTAGTCGTTTTTTCCTTTTCATTTAATCTTTTTTTTTTTGAGGAAGATTGGCCCTGCACTAACATCTGTTGCCAATCTTCCTCTTTCTCTTTTTTCTCCTCAAAGCCCCAGTATATAGTTGTGTATCATAGTTGTGGGGTTGCAGCTCTTTTACATGGGACATCATCTCAGCATAGCTTGATGAGTGGGGAGTAGGTCTGCGCCCAGGATCTGAACTGGCAAACCCTGGGCCGACAAAGCAGAACATGTGAACCTAACTGCTAGGCCACTGGGCTGGCCCCTTCATTTAGTCTTCATAATAATGGTATGAAGTATTTTTTACCACTCCTAAGAAAATTTATGTGGGCCGGCCTGGTGGCATAGTGGTTAAGTTTGCGTGCTCTGCTTTGGTGGCCCAGGTTCGGTTCCTGGATGCCGACCTACGCGCCACTTCTCAAGCCACGCTGTGGCAGGCGTCCCACATAGAAAGTAGAGGAGGATGGGTATGGATGTTAGCCCAGGGCCAATCTTCCTCAGCAAAAAAAGAGGAGGATTGGTAACAGATGTTAGCTCAGGGCTAATCTTCCTCACTAAAAAAAAAAGAAAATTTATGTGACTTGCCCCAAATTACACAGCTAGTAAGTGACAGAAGTGGGAATAATCCCAGATATGTCGATGCAGAATTTCTACTCTTTACATTATACCACCACAGCCTTCTCTCTTCATTATTTTTTTCATTCATATCTCTATTATTATACTTATTAGATTGTATACTTATTAGATTGTATTAGATTATCTACATAGCTATTTTCTCTACTATACTGTGAATTTCTTTTTTTGGTTTGTTTTTTTGAGGAAGATCAGCCCTGAGCTAACATCTGATGCCAATCCTCTTCTTTTTGCTGAAGAAGATTGGCCCTGGGCTAAGATCCGTACCCGTCTTCCTCTACTTTATATGGGATGCCATCACAGCATGGCTTAACGAGCAGTGTGTCAGTGCATGCCAGGATCCAAACCTGCGAACCCCGGGCCGCCAAAGCAGAGTGCGCGCACTTAACCACTATGCCACTGGGCCGGCCCCCTGTACTGTGAATTTCTTATGGACAGGAATTATAGACATAATTCAGTGTGAATCCCTGACATCCAGTAAGGTGGTAGGTGCCTGATGAGTATTCTATACACATTTATCAAATGACTGACTTCTCATTACATGCATAATTTGTAAGTCATAGAAAAAGGGAGT